AGAGATCTGGGCAAGGAATGATAAGTAACCATTATTTTCAGCTCATCTTTTAGATTAAAAAAAATAGATCATATAAAAAGTGCAAAGTGACTACCACAATGACTGAATTTTTCAGATTTTTAAGCTACACTTAGAGATCAATAATTTTCGTCTTTAAAAGAAATATATACATAAATATCTCTATGAAATGATTACATAACCTTCTAGCACATTTCGATGCTTTATAAATCGCAATGGAGACATGTATATTCTTTTACCACAGAAGGAAACTAAAAATTACTATAACCACACAGCGAGATAAGAAGGAAACACGAGTGAAAGTATTGACAAATCTAATAACATTCGTAATGACCTATGAATGACAAGAAATAAAGAAACACGAACGAACATTCAAATATTTTATTAGAATCTAGCTTAAGAATGCAAGGCATAAGCAGAGAACATTTGAGCAGAAAACCAAATTACGACAAGAGAGCAATGAGGTAAACAAAAATAATAGAGAGTTTACCTTTTTCGGGGCAGCGTGACTTGGACAAAACGATCTTGAGAGCGAACACTTCCACCACTGCGACGACGCATAAAACCAAACTACAACAAAAGAAGCTAAGGTAAAACATCCGATTTTGAACAGGGACTAGTGAGACGAGCAGGGAATAGGATAACTTAATCGAATATCCACCCCTCCACCTTAGACGCGAATCTCTATATATTATCTGAGTTATTTTCTTAAGCGAACTCTCAATATTTCTTACTCAAACTCCTAGAAAATAACAAAAGCCACTCTTTCCGCTATTTCCAAGTATCTCCCCAAAGAAATTCTCCTCCCCTTTCCCTTTTTCGATTTTATCCAAAAAATCCAAAACCAAAAAGAAAACCTCTCTAATATTTTTTCTTTCAATGCTGCTGTCCTCTTTTCTATTGTTAGTTCAAAGGTTTTTTTTACTCTCCCCCAAAAAAAAACCTCCTTTAGCCGAGGAGAGCAAAACAATATACGAGGTTCATTAGGGTTTCGAATTTCGGTGAAATACTAAATCAACCTCTGGTCTTACCCCATAATTTGAAATTCAAATCACCGCACCAAAAAGGGGAGACCACCTTTTCTGGAGAATTTTAGCTCATTCCCAAAGAGGAAAAAAGGAAATTGATGCTTCAGAGGAATCTGCTCACATTGTGTACCTCTTTCTTCACAATTGGATTTTGGGCCTGTTCTGGATGGAAATGCTGAAAAATAAGAGGCCTAAAATGGCTGCCCGAATGGATTAAATATTTGCTAACTAGATGAGATTAATTAATATAAATCAATTAAATAAGCTTCTTAATTTTAACGAAATAAAATAATCGATAAAATTATGACATAATTAAGTCAAAAATGCAAACTATTTAATGGCTAATAAAATATTTAAACAAAATAAAATATTCGTAGATACGAATTTTCGAATAATCCTAAAATATATTAGTTATATACATATATTAACTAAAAATTATGAAAATAGTAATATTAACTTAGAATAATTCGAGAAACACTTT